AAAAAAAAACAATTAGAAGATAAGAAAATTTCACTGAGAAGGATAAAACTCCAAGAAGAGTGAGCTACCTACCACTTCTTCATAAACCATATCCCAGCCTCCAACAGGCTCTGATTCTGACTTCCAAAAACACTTTTAAATTATTAATCAGTTCACTGCCTTTTGGGGAATCGGTTTAGAATCACAATCCTAGAGAAGGAATCTGATACACAAAGGTTAATAAAGGTTTCTAGTTCAAGGACATACAACTGGTTAAAAATAAAGAAGACTTTGGTGTCCCAGTGGTTCCTTCTTCTAAGAAACCAGATTCATCCGAACTAGAAAACTAAATACCAGGGCAGTGTACAGTGAACTGTTTCAGCTAAACTCACACATACCCACTCGCCCCCAGGCCCCTGCCCAAGAGCCCTGCACAACTGAAAAATGGTGCAAGTCATTGTATTTTCTCTGAAATCCCTAAATCAAGGCAGGGTCTTTTCTGGAATAAACATCATTTTGTAAACTAAAAAATATGCTAAAGAATTTGCTCAATGCAATTTATGTCCCAACCTATAACGTTTCTATATATGCCATCAGCTGTGCACCAAGTAAGCACAGTGCAGTTTTATATGATCTGGGGCAAAATGTTCAACAATTCTGAGCCTCAGTTTCCTCATTTGTAAAATGACAAAATTGAACTAGATAATCAGTATGATCCTATCTGCCCTTAAGATTGTGGTTCTTCGGATTATTTATCCAGACATTTTAAAGTTCCTGGAAGCTTCCTGCCTATGCTGAGAGCTGTGTAGCTACTAAATGATGGCCTTCCACTGTACCAAAGCACACAAACAGCATCAATAGATTTGTCCTACTTAACAGAAAGAAATAAATTATTACTGTGAAAAAGTATGTATTGTTTTGTAAATCATTATTTACACATTATGTGTTGCTAATTCTTCCTAGAGGAAGGAATATGGAAGATTCTCTCCTCTGGGAGTTTGCTACTTAAGACTGACCACACAGATAAGGTTATATATGTAGAGTACAAATATAATAAAATAAAAATATTAGACAAAAATGTAGCTGGAGAGGACAGACTGTGCATCACACATGAGGAAAAGACAAGAAAACCTTATATTCAAGCTGCCAAAGCAAAATTTTCCTGCATCTATAAAATTTTAACCTGGATGTGATGTTCCCACATTTAACTATGAGCGAGAGAATTTCTATAACCCAGAGAAGTCAAGTAAAGCAGTGCTTTACTCAGCTTTCACCCCAGCTTCTGTTTATTTTCTCTCCCGTATACCTCTGCCACTGGGAAGGGAATGCTGTACGTGTCATAATAGCATAACAAGCCTGGTAAGCGGCACAAAGTGGGTTAATTACTCCTTTTCATGGAAAGCAATTACTCTAAACATTTAATTTTCCATTCTATAGTTCATATTTAAATGCAGACCCATGGATGACCATACTTTATTTCCCATTTTCACAAAATCACATCTGATTTGAAAGATAAATGTGTAAGTCAAAGGAAAAACACTTCAGGTTATAGAGACCTATAGTAACAATCTTTGTGTCCATTTTTTCCTGCCCTTATCATGACTA